CAATTCAGACAAGATTTTCAGTTAAATAGCTCAAATTTGAAAAAAAAAGTAGGTTATTTACCATCTCCAAAGACTCCTTCTTTTAACAAAAAAAATAAATTTCAGGAGCCAAAAAGTTTTTGGGCGAAATTTCATGAATTAACTAAGTGGGGGGTAACATATTTAAAAAAAATATTTTTTACCAAAATTTTCTAAAAACAAAATATTTCAAATAATAATAATAATAATTTCATTCATTTGTGAATAAGTCCTGAAAATTTCATTAAGATCGGACATTTATTTTATTTTTACAAGAATTTCCAAATCAATATGTTTTCAACGGTAAAAAAACGCAAAAAAAAACCAATGTTATTTTAAACGTCACCGCGATGACGTAAACAAAGACGACTTTAACCAAAATTTCGAACGTGTTAGAAAATATTAAAAAATTTCAGAAAATAATTAAAATATACATTTTTCTTTCCTCTTAATAATAACATAAGCATTTTGACGATAATACTTTATTTTCTTTAAGTTTGGGGCATTTTTCATTTACGCTATGCTGTTTTTCCGCGAAAACAGTGGACATGTTTAGTATGTATATATATATATATATATATATATATATATATATATATATATATATATATATATATATATATATAATTAACTTCACCCTAAGCCAAGGCGATAATGTCAGGAGAACATAGATGGTTACAGGGGAGAGTGAAAGAAAATGGGAAGACTGATAATGGGGAGAATTGCCATAGACGCTGCATTTAAATTTTTGATGATTGTTTTTATCAGGGAAGTAAAATATCAATGCGAGAAAAGAAACTGTTAGTTTAGAATTGGCGATGCCATCTGGTTAGTTCAATAGTAAAACGGTGGGACCTGCTTGCCAATCTAGCAGCAAGCTTAAATTCGTGTAGTCGGGGCAACGACGTCGTTAGCTTTATCTCGTATCCAAGTATTTAATTTGTTCTTTTATGATCGCTTGCTTTATGATGATGACGTTGTTGACTATGTAAACCAATTCTTGCGTGGAAGGCCCGACGGCATTTATTGCATAATTATGTCGGTGGACGATGGGGTCGGTTTTGCCAAGTTTTTCTCTCTCGTCTTGTCACTTCTTTCTTTCATTTTTCTGGTGGCCTCGAAGTTTTTGGTTCCGATAGTGATGGAACATCGCCAGTAGCTGTGGTCTTGTGCATGTATTTCGAACGATTTAGGCTCAATTTCTCTGGCTTTGTGTGTTGTTTTGAGCTGGTCCCTGTTTCATCGAAGAGGCTAATCCCGTGATCTTTTTTCTCTGAAATGATCCCACTGAAGAAGTCTTAACGTGTACACCTCGACGCTTCCATACATGCTAGATGTTCTGACCAACAAGCGAGGTTATTATGCCACTTCTCTGTCTTTCACCTTGCTCTCCTTATTTATTCTTTCTTCTTGTAAGTCTTCATTTTACTCTTCCACTTCATCTTCCTTGGTCTCTCCTTCCTTCTCCATTTTCATTCTCTTTTTTCTCCTCCTTTCTTCTTCCTTCACTCCTTCATTTTCCAAATCTTTCACTTATCTTTTATTTCTTCTCCTCTGACTTGACTCTTAATCTCGTTTTTTTTTTAATTTCCAATTGAGTTTTAGTAGGTTTGATTCTCATTAAATATTCAGAAGGTACGGTGGTGTAATGGATAGCGAATTAAGGAATCGGAGATCCCAGTTCGAATTCCAGTCGAATCCATTACATTCACTTACGTGCTAATACCCTTGGGGAAAGATATGAATCCTCTTCTTCTCCCCGCAGCTATGGTTAAATAGCAGGACAAACCGGGTTCTGGCAACTGGTCTAAAACTACAACTCTAAATTCAGAATCTGCGAAGGGTTGTTTGGGGACCTTGCGGCTCATTGTGCACCAGTTCCCTGTATTCGGCTGTTCATAAAGTGTGGTTAGTTCTGGTAGTGATTTTCCAAGCGTAGCTCAGATGTGGCACAAGGCCAAAAGTATGAGGTACCCAGTGAGGATCGAACTCACAACTCAGTCGCAATTGTTCTAGCGATACAAGCTTGCTAACCATTACACCACCTAGAGGTACCCATGGTTAGTTCTGGTATCTGGTTATTAGTTTCTAAGAACTGACTTGCTTAACCCCCATACGTCGAAATCGACGAGAGTGTCCATTATAGTCAATAAATATAGACGTTGATTCTTCTTTGAATAATACCATTTTTTGTTGTCTATTATCATTTTGTGCAGAAATATTTCGTAAAATTGTGTCATTCCTTGCAAGCCTGAACTCTTATTTGATACTTTTCCCCATTTTGTTGTATCCCGTGCTAATAAGAATATATACTTGAAAAACACGGTGGATAAAATAAGTAAAGTTTTATTGTAAAAAAACAGTACAATACGAATAAAGGTAACAGTTATACACAAAGGTCGTCGTAAGTCAATCCAGTAGTGAGTGCTACTATCGGAAGGTCGGTAGTTCTCGCATAAATCTGAGTCATACTCAACAGATC